AAAAAAAAAAAAAAGAAAATCAAACTATACAAAAAAATGAATAATGCTAAAAGGTTAAAGCTCCTATTTCAGCTCCCTACCCCCAAAATCTCTCCCTGGAGGTACCCATTATTAACAGTTCAGTGAGCATCCTTTCCAGACTTTTTCCTATGCATCGACAATCATGTGTAAGTTACATGTTTATACATATGTATTCATATACACACTCAGATCCAGAAATGTTTTTTTCCAAAAGGGTATCATACTAGTCGTAATGTTCTGCAACTTGCTTTTTCACTTAACAAGCAGAGTGGGCATCCCTCCATCCCAGTGCAGATGGATCTGGATGCTCCAAAATGTATGCATGCCGTTCCCTGATGGTGGGCATTTGGGCTGATTTGCTTTTCGCTGCAGTGAATACCCTTGCACGGACAGCTCTGTACAGCTGCGTGTTTCCATGGGACAGAGTTCCAGAAGTGGTCTGGCCGGGTGAAAGGGCCTGTCCAGCTAAGTGTGCAGAGATACTGCCAAATTCCCTCTAGAGTTTCTCACCACTCAACTGCACAGCCTGAGAGAGCGCTGGGTCTCCAGCCCCTCCCCTGCAAAGCCCTATTTCCAAGGCTGCTTTTGTTCTAACGGTCTAAGACTTGAACTCTGAACCCACTGTTATTTGGTGAGGAACCCCAGAGGTGGCAATTAGGGACAACGGCCTTGGGAAAACAAAACCAAAACCAGAGTCTTCTCAGGTATGCTTTCCTCCCTGGACGGGGACCCGGGCACAGGGAGCAGCTGGAGAGGGAGCAGAAGGAACTGCAGGGCCTGCCAAGCTCCTTTCCTGCTGTGCAGGGCGGCTGGGCAGGCCTGCTTCCAGGAGGGAAGCGCCCACAGAAAGCTGCATGTGTGTACTCCTCAGCAGTTGGAGGCAGAGGGCTGCAAAGAGAGGAAGAGGAGGTGACTGGTGAAAGCGAGAAGTCCTCTGCTGTGCTTGGGGGCTTGGGCTGATGCCAACAGAGTTGGGAAGGTCAAATCCAGGAAGGAAAGTGGACCCCTGCCTATCACCCCTGCCTCCATCCTGTGTGTCAGGACCCTCCTCAGAACTCAGAACACCTCTCCTCCCACCCTGCTTAAGCAAAGAGGGCATTTCCAGCCTAGAATGGTCCTCCCCGGTGTAAACCCTGTCTGTCACCCTTCAAGGCTCAGTCATGAGCCCCAGCAGCCTGAAGAGTGGAGTATACCCCTGCACTGACAGCCACCTTCCAGGGTCCAGCTGTGCCAGGTACCCCAAAGCCCCCAACATGGCACTACCACGGAGGTGTGCATGGGGTCCTGTCTGGCCAACTTGAGCTAAGAAGCTTAGGTCAGAGACAGACTTTTGCACGGCTGCATCTTCCTTTCTTCTCATCATTTGCTGCCCTGCAGACACCTCAGATTGGGGCAGGTTCTGAGCCCCGCAAAGCTGCTGGAGGCAACTCCACTGTCACTCACTTCCTGCCTGGGACCACACGGCCTCCTCTCATGCTGGGACTCACTTCCTGTTGACTGCTGACTCCGTAGCATAGAGACCCATGAGGGCCGTAGCATAGAGACCCATGAGGGCCCACTCTGAGGCCCAACACAGCCCCAGGCTTCCGACCAACCCAGTCATTCATGCACACTAGTAAGCCCTGCCCTGGCCTCTGCTCACTAGATGCCAGCACCTCTCCCCAGTCTGCAACAGCACCAGAGGCGCCATTCTCCTAGAGATGCCCTCAAAGCCAGGTGGGAGTCGGGCACGCTGGGCAGATAATGGGGGAGCAGGGCACGGTGCTCATTTCCAGCCCCAGGTTAGCTCACCAGCTGAAATCCCCACTCCCGTATCTGGTCCACACCATCCTCTGCCCAACCATCCCCTCCTGCTCATCTGCTCGCTCAGGTTCTGGATGAGCCGATTCAGCCAAAGTTCTGGGGTTAGCGGGGGCCCATGACTTCTGCCACGCTCAACCCTTAACTCATCCTACCCATCAAGAACTCCCTCAAGCTAAGTGTGGCCCCTCACTGGGGCTCTCTGGGGCTCAGGGTAACCAGCAGGACAAAACCATCCAGAGGAAGGAACAAGGTCCCAGTCAAATGGCCTGAAGCAACTGTCCAAGTCTCTGGGGAAGAGCTGGGCGCTCACTGAAGGAGCCATCCCTGGTGAGAAGGGCAGAAACCTCAGCCTGGAAGCCCAGAAAGGAGGGGTACCCCAGCCAGGCCTGGCCTCTTCTGCCCCCAACTCCATGACCTCCTCCCAGCCACTCTCCTCCCCTCCTTTCCCCTGTCTCCACAGCTTGTTGACCTCTGGAGGGCAGAGACTTTGCTTGATCCGGCTGGACTTAGCACGGAGCGGGGCACCTCACAGGTGCTCAGCCGATATTCACAATTGATTCGTGAATGGCCAAGACGAGGCTAAAACTGAGAACCTCCTGCACGCAAGCTACAGGGAGTTTCAGCTTTGCTGCCATGTCTGTTAAACAATCTGCTTTTGTTTGCTTTTATTTTGACAGTCATCTGGAAAGGAGACATAGCACACCCCTGAGATACTCATGTTGCCCATTATCTGGGAGAGGGCTGGGTTGTGGGTGCCGACCATCCTCGAAGGCACTACCAGCAGGTGCAGCTGCAGGTGACAGTTTCCGAATGGGAAAAGCCGCAGTAAGTACCCATCACTTCCCCTCCCGTGGGGGGCCAGATGGGGGACACAGGAGGGTTGTGAATCTAGTATCATTCTAGATTTCAGTACAGCTCGGTCCTATCACCCACTGTCCACCTACTCCCAGCCGGTATGCCTCACTTTGGGTCTTCAAATCCTGCCTGCCACTTCCTGGGGTCCCTCAGAGTTTGCCACCCTTTGCTTTCCTTCTGGGCAGAACCCCCACCTTGCCTCCGGCTTTTCCTCAGTCCTCTCCTGTGAGCAGCTTTTCGAGGCAGGTTAAGGCCGTAGTTCTCAACTGGGGCAATTTTGCTACCTCCCCACCAGGACATTTTGGCATGTGTGTGAAGACATTTTTGGCCACCACATGGTTGGGGAGAGGTGCTGGCATCTAGTGAGTAGAGGCTAGGGAAGCTGCTAAACACCCCA